TACACACTGAAACATGTAACTAGGGAGAGAATATTTTTTAACTTAAACTTTAGCCTAGTGAGGAAAGCATTAATATCCACGGACTTCCTTGGTATATTTTGGCTACCTACCCCTAGGATCTGTGTTTGTTTCTTATGTAGGTGTTGTTAGTGGTGCAACTGTGACATTGGAGCTTTCACATCGCTGCTCTCAGCAGAGTGAAATTCACCCTGGCAAACCTCTGCAAAGCCCGCTGTGCCCTGGCCAGGGGCAGGGGTTGCTCTGGTCGGTGCACATTCCATACACAGTAAGTAGTGGATGCAGAAGGGCTGCAGTTACTCCTCCACCTTACACCACCCAACGTCAGCTCCATTTGATTTAACGCTTTATCCTTAGCTAAATCATTCTGGCTTTGGAGAAGGGAGATTGGAAGGGAGAATTTGGTATGGTGTGAACACTTCACTGTGCTACGGGACAGTAAATGTTGCACTTACAGTATGTTTCAATACTGTGATATTCTGAGAATTACTGTAAAACCACTTGTGGGAGCCGTTTGTTTTGCTTTGTTGCACAGGTTGTACTTACATTTTTGCATGGTTATACATTTTAGTATTCGTGCCTTTTACTTCTCTGTTGTGAGAATGCATTGTATTTTCACATTTCGTCTGCTGTTTTGGGTACTTTTTATAAAAGCTTTTTTTTTTTCATTTGATCTTCATCTCAGATTTTCATGTAATGTAAATGTCTGTATATATAAAATAGCTCAGATTTGTATTCATGTGCCTGAGATGTAAAAAATACTCATTTTATACAGGTTTTTTTAGAAGCACTAGGTCATGTTCAGAATTCCTTAGCAAATGAAATGTAATTTAATCAGCAGTTCTTTGTCTTGTTTTAGCAGTGTGCTGTCAGGTGGCTGGTCTCTTTATGGCAGTATCTCACACACTCCCTGGATCTGTTCTGGTGTCACTACGAGACCAATTTTATCTGCTTGTTAGTTTTGGTTAATTGGAAATAAAACACCCAGCTGTGCGTTAAGGTCCTGCCTCAGTGGTCGTAGTTTTTATGCACATCAGAGACTATTTGTTTCCATCTGTACTTGAAATGGACTTCAGACAAAAACCTCCTTTGAACGCGTTGCCCATTTTAGGTTTATTTCAGTCCTGGGGTTATTTTTGTGGAAATGGGTGAGTGATTTACTTTGACTATTGGAATCAAAAAGGACAGCAGTGCCCATTTATAGGTCCTCCTTCTTAGGGTAAAACTCATTGGATTTCTATTTCTCTTCCCTCCTGCCTTCTGTGGCCTCTTTTCCTAAGGAAGGACCCTGGGTCTGCAAGGCTAAAAGTGCATGAAAAGTACGAAGGTAAGGGGGGCAGAATTTCTTACCCAGATGGCAAAGTGTGCCTTAAGCACCTCCTGCAGACCTGAGGAATGGAGCGCCTTGCTTTTCACACTTAGCAGCTGCAGGGAAAACTCTTGGGTTTGTAGCACAGCAAAACGTGGCTGCGTTCATTGAGTGCTGACCCCCTCGCCTGGTCAGATGCTTGAATTGTTCCCTCTCGTGTCTCACGGAGCACCGATAAGCACCGCGGATACGGTGAGATAAGAAATGGCGAGGCGTACAAAAAGCAGCACCTACTAAAAGCTCCAGAGCCCAAAGTTTTAATCTATAAAATGCAACGTTCCCTCCTCAGAGAGCTGAAATCTTTAAACTGAATCTGGCATCCACCTCTCAGCCCATGAAGCTGCCTTGGAAGCAAGGAGGTGGTTTTATTTTTGGCTTCAAGGGTGGCTTGGTTGGAAACTGAGCAAAGTCCATTCGCTTCATTGCTACAGGAAAAAAAAAAAAAAAAGCAGCCAACAAAAGCAACATACAATTATTTGCAACTTCATTCTGTAATTTCCACCACCCGTGAAGCCATGTCAGTCCTGTCGCACCCTGCCATTACAGTCTTCTCCGTACGGGGACAATAAAGCTGTCTTCGCTCCCGTGAATCCTTTCCCCTCGCTGTGACGTACAGCACACGGCAACAGTTTGCAGCCCGACTCCCTCCTTTCCCGCACGGTTTGAAGGCATCGCGCGGCGATGCGATGCCGGCACGCGGCTGTGCGGCTCCTCGTGCAGCGCTGCGAGCAAATCGAGCTCCAGCTGCGAGCTGTTGGCAGGCCCGCGGCCAGCTGCAATTAACTAATTGCTGAGCGGCACCTGCGGCTCTACGGGGGATCCGTCTGAGCTCCGCGGGGCCGCGCTTGCAGAGCGACGCTTCCAGCAGCCCGGGAGCTGGGGGGGGGGGGCTGCGGGAGGCGGGGCCTCGGCTTGGAGCCGGACCCGTCATAGGACCTCGCTTGTCCTCCCTCGTGTAACGGGGACGGCTCACCGCTGCCCGCCGCATCCTCCGGACCAGAACGCTGAGGTAAAGTTTTATCTTTATTTTGTAACTTTTTTTCTATTTTGAGCCTCTTCTCCAGGTTTTGCTTTAATGGCTGGAGTAAAGAAAAAAGAAACGTGGGTCCGGCTGTGGAAATGCAGCGTGGAGTTCTGGAAGGTTCTGTGCCGAGCGGCCGCGTGCTGCCCCTCAGTGCTACCCCACTCTGCCTGTGTGCCCATATATACTGTGTGCCCGTCCCACCGCTGTGTGCCCATACTGCGTGCTCACACCGCCGCTGCACGGCGCTTCCACGGGATTACGGTTTTCCTGACGAGGAACCGCGCTCCCCCTCTGGGGGCTCAGCCGTGCCCATGGGAGGGTTACCCGCAGCCCCCCGATGCTGGTGCTACGCAGAGATCTGTTCTTGAGGTGCGTAGTTTAACGCTGAGGCTGTGGTGAGCTCTCTAAGGGAGAGGGAAGAAGGGGAATGTTTGTTAGTGATGCATATTCTCCTTTCTGAATCTGAGCTTATTTATTGTAGCGACGGAGTCCAGAGGCTACTTTTATGTTACTGTATAAAAGGAGCACAGTAATTAGCCTCCTTTACCATGCGGCTCGGTCCTCCTCAGCAATCACAGCACTTTGCTGTGCAGCTGATGGTTCCTGCAGCCTCTGTCTGTACTGCCCAGTATCTGCCTGCCTGCCGTTGGCTGGCAGCTGCTCCCGGCAGTAAAGGCACTGAACAGAGGGCACCCACAGTGCAACCCCTGACCTCTCGGCCTTTCCCTTTTCCACATTCCTTATGGCAGTGAGGTGTTGGGTATTCAGATTTGTAACAGCAGGCCTTACCAATGCCCCTCTGTGTATGTTAAACTGCTGCACCAAGGCAGCAGTTATGCCCCAAAATCTCAAGAGCAGCTCCAGCTGATGTGCTGCACTACTGACCTGCTTCAGTCCATTTACACACTGGCTCACAAAGAAGATGGAAAATGGAAGGCTGGAAAAATGGACCAGCTGGTGCTGGGAGGAGAGGTGCACGTCAGCACTGTGTCACACAGCCTGGAACAGCTGTAACAAGTGGTGCCATTCTGTGCTCAGAGCCCCGCATCGTCGTGCAAACAGGACTGAGATGCCCGAGCTCCCCGTGGTGATGGTTACCCCTGCTCTTATCTTCTGGGGAAAGGGAGAAAGGAAAGGAGTCCTGAAACCAGGCAGAGGTTCAGTGGGGCAGTAGCAGAGCAGGAATTAGATTGGAGGAGTTCTGACTCCTGGAACTTTGGGTGGGGGCAAGGAGAGCCTTTGCAGACAGAAAATCCATCTTGTGTGTGCATCAAGGGAGCGCACCGGCCTGGCATTGAGCACTGATCTCATCCTGGCAGATAAGCATTCAACGTACGAGTCTCAAAGCCATGTCTGGAGGATGGGGTTCTGGGATGTGTTGCTCCCTTCTGAATCTCTCTTGACCTACACGCTGTAGCAGGGACTCTGCTTGCATAGCTCAGCAGCAGTTGTGCTCTTGGAGCCAGCTGCTTTTGGGAGGCAGGAAAGGGGCTGGAACGCATGAAGAGTGCGTTGACTGTTGTCCTAGCTGTATGATGATTAAGAATTTGGGTTAATGGTAACTTTGTAGCATTGATACATAAGTACTGTGACGGGAGGCATGCTTAGGCATGCTTACACCCCTATTTCATCGCACTCAGACCTCTGTGCATTAGCTAACAGACCTGTATGAAGCAGGTGGGTGATTAATGGTGCCACAGCACCTAACACAGGGCTTATAAATCACAGCTCAGACTTCCAAACAGAAAGAGGGGCAGGTAGCAGGGATGCGGCACCGCACGAGGGCCGACTTCAGCACCGCCTGCCTGCGCTCTCTCCCCGTTGTGCTGTAACGCAGGCTGCCAAAACGCAGCCGGAATTGTATTCAGCGCTTCGGCGGGGAGCGGGCCGGGCCGGGGCAGCGGAGCGGGGAGCGGGGAGCGACTCCGTCCGGGCGCTGTGCCGGCGGGGGGCCGGGCGGTTCGCGGGGTGCTGCGGGGCTGAGCGCTGGCACTGCCCGGCTGCAGCCGAGTCTCAGCCAGAAGTCCTGACGTGGAGCCCCGAGGAGGAAATACGAATAACTGCATAAATTGGTGCTGCCCTGTTGTGGTGTGACGGCGTAAGCAGAAGATGTAAAATGTGAAAATTCAGGCGGAGCAGCGGAGCCGAGCGGGGAGCGGGCTGCGTCCCGTAACCCGGGGAGCTGAGGAAGGCGGAGGCCCGGGGAAGCTCCGACCGAGGGCCGTTCCCGCGGCCGCCGCCCGTTTCCGTGGCGCCGCCTCGCTCCGGCACCGCCCGGCTCGGCCGCCCCTCCTTCGCCCCCGCCCCCCCGCCCTGCCGCCGCCCGGGTCGCTCCGCGCGGGGCGGGAGGCCGCCGCCTTCCACTGGCTGCGCGCGGCTGCTGCTAGCCCGTCAGGCGCGGTGGCCAAGTGGTAAGGCGTCGGTCTCGTAAACCGAAGATCGCGGGTTCGAACCCCGTCCGTGCCTGCTCGAGGGAGCGCGGCTCGCGGTGAGCCCTGCGGCATGGAAGCCGCCTGAGGCCGGGATTTCGGCCGCTTTTTGTTCCCGGCCGCGGGGCTTCGGAGCGGTGCGGGTGCCGTGTGCCGGGCCGGCTGCGACGGCGGAGGAGCAGCGAAGCGAGGTGGGCCCGGCTTTGCGTCCGTGTCCGAATCGGCCGCGGTCCGTGGGAGAGGCAGAAGCGAGCAGAGTCCGAGGTTTTGCTGGAGGACAGCGGTGTGGGTGCAGTAAATCACGGCCAGACTGCAGGTGATGTGCGGTGAGCTTGGAAGCACTGAGCCCTCCTTGCCGTTACTCTCCAGGTGCGGGTTTTGGTGTCTTGGGATGGTGGAAGGAGGTTGAATCCAGGAATAAAGCAATGCAGCCACGGAAGGCTCCATGCAGTTTGTACCTCTTACACCAGAATGAGCTCAATTGCCCGGTTCTTGTTGCATAAAGCTGTGCAGAACTTTGCACGCGTCCAAAAGGCATTTTTGCCAGCTCTGTATGGCAGCGCTTCAATTATTGCTGCTTCCAGGCGGCTCACAGGATGTAAAGAGATGTTTTGTTGCAGGATCTCCGCAGTCAGGTCTTTGGGAAGAGCTGAGCAGCCTCTTCCAGGGGCACCGCACAGGGGGAGCTGCTCAGCCCAATGCTGACTGCTAGGGGCTGCTGTCCTCCATAGGTACTGCAGGTGTGGGTGCATGGGGTGTGTGGGGAGTGCAGGGTGTTATTAATGAACCATAAAACATGCCAGAGTACATTTGATAGAAAAACAGGAAATGCAGTTTAGAACTTGCTTGCAAAAATATAGGCAGCATTTTAGTAGGAAAATGCAGTGCTGTCAAAACTTTGCTGCAGGCTTCTGAGGATGAAAGCTTCCGCTTTGAAGCACTTTTTATCTTTGAAATTCTGTAGCGTCTCACATCAGAATGTCAAACCAAAATGTTTGCAATGACTCAAAACCCGTCTCACAGCTTCTGCAGAGAATTTCAGAGCTCTGTGGGTTTGCTTCCAGTTGCAAGCAGTTGCAAAAATGAGGCGCTCCTTGAAGGAGAATCACAGAATCACAGAATCACCCGGGTTGGAAGGGACCCCAAGGATCATGTAGTTCCAACCCCCCTGCCTAGCAGGGCCACCAAACGTACACATTCAGATCAGGTTGCCCAGGACCCCGTCCAACCTGGCCTTAAACACGTCCAAGGACGGGGCATCCACAACCTCCCTGGGCAGCCCGTTCCAGGGCCTAACCACTCTCCTAGTAAAGAACTTCCCCCTAACATCCAATCTAAATCTTCCCTCCTTCAACTTAAAACCATTTCCCCTAGTCCTGCTGTTATCAGCCCTTTTGAAGAGTTTACTCCCCTCCTGGGTGTAGGTTCCCTTCAGGTATTGATAGGCTGCAATGAGGTCACCCCGCAGCCTTCTCTTCTCCAGGCTGAACAAGCCCAACTCCCTCAGCCTGTCCTCATAGGGGAGGTGCTCCAGCCCCCTGATCATCTTAGTTGCCCTCCTCTGGACCCTTTCCAAAATCTCAATGTCTTTCTTGTACTGAGGGCTCCACACCTGGACACAGTATTCCAGATGGGGCCTCACAAGAGCCGAGTAGAGAGGGACAATCACCTCCCTGTCCCTGCTGGCCACCCCTCTCCTGATGGAGCCCAGGATCCCATTTGCTTTTCGAGCTGCCAGAGCGCACTGCTGGCTCATATTCAGTCTCTCTGGAGTGTTTGCCATCAGTAAATCTGAGCAGCTGAGTCCTGCCCAAATGTGTGCTGTGAGCACAGGATAAGGAGCCGGGTGTGTGTCAGTAAGGCTGTGGCACTGCTGCTCTCTGTGGCTGTAACACAGGTGGTTCACCAGCTGCTTCACTTCAGTCTCTGCAGAACAGGAATATTTGCTTGTAACTCACAGGTGAGTGCAGCTCTTTGCTCGGCACTGTGGGAAGGGCTGGCAGTATTTGCTGCTGTGCATCTCTGCTGCTGCACAGACTCACCTGCTGCATAGACTCACCTGCCTGGATCCCTTCTGTTCAGTGATGCCGGGTTCTCTGTGCATCCTGCTGGCTTTGTCACCTTCAAAGCTCCCCAGCTCCTCGCAGACAGCAGCTGTAGTGCATGGGCATCGTAATCTGTACAGAAAGGAACAGGTGGAGGCTTCACTATAGGCACACATCCCAACAGGTAGAGCTTTAATGGCAGAGTGTGTCACCCCTGGGAAGTTCTGCTTGGCTTAGTGGCAGGGCTGGGCTGGTGTGTTACTGATGCTGTGCTGAGCCTCCTGGAGGGGGCTACCAGCAGCCCTGGCTCAGCAGCAGAGGCTGCAGGTTCCCAGATAGCTGAGCAACTTCTTGCAGCAGCAGCTCAGGCTGTGAGCAGCTGGCTCCATATGTGTCCCTGTCACCTCACACACATGTTGCGCTTGGCCTGCCTTGGCTGTGTGTTAGCAGAGCTGGAAAAACAACAGACCCCAATGGAGGAAAAGTAGCAGAGATCTGTTCAAACTAACAAGTTTGCATCAGCTTGTTTGGGAGCAAAGTCCAGCCTAAATGCTGAGTAAGAGTACCTGCTCATCACATCCGCAGCGCCCTCAGCCCCAATTCGCCAGCACTGCTGGGGCTCTGCTCAGTGCTGCCTCTGCACTGCTGTGTTCTATGGGAGCTCCTGGCACTGCAGGGCTGTGTTGAGGCAGATCTCTGCCCTCCCACCTCCCAAATGCCCTTCCTTCTTACGTGGGAAAGAAATTTGAGTTGGGCTTTAATGTATTATTTAATGTCCTGAAGGTCGGTGAACTTTAATGAAGATGATTACACACTGACGGTAGCTGTGCTGAGGGGCGGTGTGGGCAGGAGAGCCTTGTTTGTTTTGGACACAAAGCCTGACCAAATACAAACCAAAACGTTCGGATCTCTCATCCGAGTTGCTCTTTGATTTTGTTCAAAAAAAAAAACAAAAACAAAAACAAACAAACAAAAAAAAACACTGAGGAGTCTCCCTCTGAACGTGACACTAAATGAGGATTAAAACGAGGCTCCTTTTAATTACGTTAATCGTAATGTGTTTTTATTAGGTACTTAAAATGTGTGTTGCTGCTGAAAATCTTTACATGTGTTCAGGCACGGAACTTCCTGACCTTCTGAGCTGATGGGCTCCTTCACAGTGCAGACACCTTCATGACCCCTTTAAAATTCCTGTTAAAAGTGTTAGAACAAATCACTCATAGCAGCGGTCTTCTCTGACTCTGTATTACGTGTGCTTTTGAAAGGCTGACAGAAAATGCTGGCTTTAGGAAAGCAAGATGTGAATGGGAACTAAAAGCATCGCGTTCTTTGTTTGGATTATAATAACATTTACAGCACTTTGCAACTCTCCTGAGTGTCTGTCGCGTCCTCCCTGGGATCAGCCTTCAGCAACTGAAAAGCAGCGTTAGCAACGCAGGGGAAGCTGTGTGTTGGATTCAGAAACAGTGGTGAGATCATTCCTGAGCTGTGTGAGCACCTCGTGGTGCACGGCCAGGGCTGTCACAGGGGCTGCAGTTGGGAATGCATGGAGCCGTCTTGTTAGTGCTTGTGCTTTTTGGGTATCCCTGCACAGGACAGCTGACATCTCTCTGTTGTTTGTTTGTTTGTTTGTAATTAAAAAAAAAAAAAAAGTGGGAAAAGAAAAAAGGCCCAATCGTTGAAGCCCTGAGCTTGGAGAGAAAACCCACATGCCAGCTGTGTGCCAGGGTGAGCAGCTGGGTGCTGCGTGCTGCTGGGAGCAAAGGGGAACTGCTCACCGTGTGCCACGTGGGGCTGTGCAGATTTTCCCTGCAGGTTAGACAAGGAGTGTTGAGAGCATGTCATAAAGGTACAGCTGGGTGCTGGGACTGCCAGCAAACAACGGGGGGATGGTGGTGGGTTTGGGTGAGGCAGGAGAACAGCACGGCAGTGTTGTCTGAATGGCAAATATGTGGTTGAGTAAGTTAACTCCTGAGTAAATAAACCCCAAACTGTGGAAATCTTCACATGGCCACAGCAATGTGAGTCCCATTTCCATTATGCCTGGAATTTAATGGACTGCTGAAGTTTGACCAAAAGGCATTTCTTGTGTCAGAATGAAAAATTACAGATCAGAAGGGTGACTCTGCAGACAAACATATAGATCTGAAGCCTGGGTGACACAGACTTCCTGGAAGAGAGCCCAGAAGCATGTCTGTGTTTAAAGTCAAATGGCTGCAGCCTTTTATCACTGATGAATAAAAAATGTTTTTGTCTGCATGCCGAAGGCTGAAGCAGAAATGACTTGATTTGTTCTGCGGGAGGAGCAGGAAGGTGTTTGCAAATAGAAATCCATTGAGTGCTGCAGTATTCAGTAATATAAAGAAGTAATGACAGTGTGTAGGAAATAAGGAATTGTTCAGCTTTTTTTTTTTTTTCCTTTGAAAGCTATTTTACGGCAGCTGTGGGAAAGGCAAACTGAGCCTCCTTGCTCAGTGTTTGGAGGTTCTGGGTTACAGTGTCCCCTTCCGTGGAGATGTGGGGAGGGGTGAAGTGGTGATGTTCTTTCATTGGGAACCATTCGAGAAATTGCATTTCTGCTGTGACAGAGGTTTGGTGCTGAGGATGCTGCTGCTGCACTTAGATGCTCACAGTGAGGTGTGGTTGTGCCCAGACCAGCATGCAGCCCCCTGGGTGAGGCGTAGTGTGGTGCTGGTGGCAGCTCAGGTTTGCTAATGAGCTGTGTGGCACCTGGAGTCCTTTATCCCAGCTGTTCAGTGGCTGCCATTGCAGTGCTTGGTGCCTGGGTTCCACCAGGGAACGTGTGAAAGCAGAATTAAGTGGAAGAAGTGGTGCTGAATGGCAGTGACTGCCAGCAAGCGCCGGCTGACGTTCCAGGCAGCGTGCCTCAGCCAAGCTTCAGTCATGCAAGGGAAAGAGGAGCAGGGAGGGGGAGTGGACGGGAGATTTACAATCTCATCATCTCCTCCCCTATCTTAGCAGCAAGGGATCTGCTGGTCTCAGAAGCCCCGTGTTTCTCCCTCATTCTCTCCTGGGTGCTTACTCATGCTCCTGACTGTAAAGTGTGTGAAAGAAATAGAGACCCAGAGCCCAGCCCTGTCAGGTTTGTGCACCAGGGTTTTGTCTCTGCAAGCACTGCTGTGTACCACTGAGAGATTACTGCAGGATGAAGGCCAGCGACATGAGTGCAGTTTTTGCTGTGGCTGGGTGTAGGCTGGAAAGAATTATACTGGAGCTGATGAAATTGTCTGTATGCAAATGCAGTGCCATGGGAGCAGTCAGACCTTGGATTAATGTAGCTTCCAAACTATTAGTCCTCATATTTGAATGGCGAATTATTTCCTTTGCATCCAGCACAGTGTGGTTCCATGGGCCTAGAGATGATGGTGGGACACAGCCTGCCCTGTTGTGCCTTCTTGTGGGCGATGCTCAGCGTGGCTGTGGCCTGCTGGATTGGTTGTAGCAGTGGTAACTGAAGCAGGAGTGCTGGGTTCAAACAATCAGCTAAACAAAAGAATTCAAACTGCGTACAAATTCAAGGCGAGGACGGCCAAAGATAGGGTTTAGTGTTTGCTGTCTTTGAAGTGCCTGCAATGAACTTACTTGGGAAGCTCAAGAATGAGATTGAGTGATCAGCTAGTGCTGCAGATCTGCCAGAGATCTCCTGGGGCCCCCGCCTGCTGCTTCTGTGTGTCACTGTTGGGCGCTGCAAATGGTCACAAGAACATGGTGGCATTGTGCAGAGCATTACTCTGTGAGGACTGTGAGCTGGTTGAATCCTTGTCATTCACTTCATGGCTGTTGTAGCCAGGTTCAAACACATATCGCATCACAGGAGAAGGAAAGCAGAAGCAAGTGAGGCTTTACTGGCAGAACTGGGTTCAAAAACTTCGTTTTGTACCCTCAGGGTATAGATGGTGGGAGGATTAGTACCATGGCAACATCTTCCATTTTGTCAGTGTCTTGTATAGCCCCGCAAGCACTGTCCCCTCTCAGCAGTCACTGCAATGCTTGGTGCCCCTGGAGAGCCCTGCAGAGAGAAGTGAACTCCCACGCCAAGCCTCTGCTGCAGCTGAATTCCTGACTCCTGTCCTTTCATCACTCTGGGCCCAACTTAAAGAGTACTTGCAAAGCTACCAAATATAGAACGCTCGCAGCATATTTCACAACTGAAACTTGCAAATGCTGGAGTGGATTTCATGGACTGAAGCCCCCCGTGGAGGCAGCATTATAGTAAATAATGTTAGTGCATTTGTTTAATCCCTGGGGATTGTGGGATGAAGGATTAAAGCAGGCTAAGGGGATTTCCCAATTGACAGCTGCTCCTCTGTGCACAAACACACCATTTTTTTACATGCAACGTGTTCAGCCACAAAGAATTCAAACTGCATATGGCACTGTGTGTAACATAACCGTTGTTTCCACATCTGGCTGCACGGATCTGTCTCCCGTGGTAATTGTCTTTAATAGACACAACTGGGGATGAGGTAGTTGTACTAAGAGATGTAGTTCTGTGTTTGAACAGGAAACCATTATTTCTGAGCTTAATCATAGCTCGTTAGTGCTTTGATTTTTCTCCTCTCTCCTGCAGACACACGTGCTGTAAGTATGAAGGCCCCATTTCTGGTGGGACATTCATCATGTATTGACAACTGGCCTGGGGTTCTCAGGCTGGGCCTTGGCCAGCAAGCAGAGTGTGAGCTGCGCTGCTCTGTGAGCTGAGGCTGCAGCTCTGCGGTGGCACAGGGCTGCTCAGAGCTGGGCAGAGCTCACGGAAAGCAGCTCAGGTGGGCTGTGCTTCCATTTGTCCTGATGGACTGCTGGTGTTGTGCAGAGCCTGGGTCAGGCCTGATCCTTGCAGTGCACTATGTTGGAATGGTTCAGGAGTTTTCAATCATGAGCTTGCTATTGATTTTATTTATTTTAAAGAGCTGATTCTGGGCGTCTAGCGTGGATTAATGTTTTCAGGTGAAGGCCTGCAAGTTTCACCCTCTGCCAGCAGTGGACTTTCAGTTATTTCTCTCACTGATCATTGTGTTCAACTACTTTGATGATCCAGTTTCTTTGTCACCAAGGGGTGATGCTGAAATACCAAGCTGCTGGCTGCAAGCCATGCTTGCTCACATGCTGCTTAGTACCACATGCTGGAGAGTTAACAAATCAATGGCTCTGCTTGCAGAGAAAGGCATTGCCTGAGCATAGGCAGAATTGTGAAAGAAGAACTCAGATTAATGCATGCATTCAGCAGGACCAAACTGCATCCCAGGGTCTGTGTCCCTGTCAGTGATGTGCAGCCCAGCCTCCCACCCACTGTGTACATTGCAGCAGTTCTCTCCGGACCTCAGAGGTGGCGCATCAGCCTTCTGTGTGTTGAAGCCTTTGTGAAGACCCTGAAAGAAGCTACTGCTGGGTTATGGGTCTTGTAGAAATGTTTTCTTTTTTCCAAACAGGGCTATTTTCAGAAGCAATAGGATCTGCTGTTCCGTAGTTATTGTTCTGGGCTGCTGCTGGTCTTGTGTTATTAATATGTTAGCCCTTTGGCTGCCAAAACACTTCAACCAAACTGCTGATGTTTATTTTTAGAATTGTGGAAGTTGTGATGCTTTACAACGTGATCTGCTTGTGATGACATCCAAAGTGAATGCGGGGCTAATCCTGCTCCCACCTCTCACCCAGACAGGGGCTGCGGTCGCGTTCCCAGCACACGGGTTCTGCACGGTGTTTGTGGGAGGAGCTGCAGTCCAGAGACCTGACCTCAGGTACAGATGTGTCCCCTGCTGGGGGGAGACCTGTCTGCCATGTGCCTGATCACCACCAAAGCACCGCCGGTGCCCTCGCTGGAAGCAGAGCAGGCTGTCGGCAGCTGAGCAGCGTCTCGCAGGACGAGGCTCCCTGCAGGCTCCTGCTGGGCCGAAGCTCCGTGTGAAAGTCTTTCCCTGATCTCATAGGACGTGCTTGACATCCAGTATTGCCCGTGACGAGAGGAAGACAAGAGGCAACATTGTATGAGGCTACTGAAAATAGCAAATCAAACAGTTGGTCAGGAAACCAGCTGAGGACTGTGCCATCCACTGAACCGGGAAGAGTCTCCATTCCCTGGCTCACGCTCGTCCTTCCATACATGGAGGTAGGACACTTGCTACGATTTTTTGTGCTGGGTGTTGGTCTGTGTTGTTACCAGTGGTTCTTTGTTACAGCTGAAGAGCAAGAGTAGCAAAAAAAAATAAATAAATGAGGATAGGTAGTTGGTGGACGAGACTTGCAGTCTCTGCAACAGTATCAATCTGTTCATTTCTAAAGACTGTTGAGGACTTTTCTCTTTAAACCGAAGGGTTTCTACAGTATCCTGTGCCCCTCTCAGGAGGAGAGGTCAGTGTCCTGCACACGTCTTTATTTCTACCAGTACTCACCGGGCACTGCTCAGAACAAATTCCTTAGCATCGTTATTCCAGATGATAACAAATTATCATTTCCATGCCTTCCTTTAGTAAAACTTGTTCACAAAGTCCTCATACAACTTCTCTCTTTCAAACCTTTTTTTTCCATGATTCACTTTGCATTCTACTATTGCTTTTAAGCAACATGTTCCTTGACTCTAAATGTTCATCAGGCTTCCAGCCAAGGAACGTTTCCTTCTGTGCAAAGGATGACTTTGCAGCGTTGCTCGAGCGTCGCGGTTACAGTACAGACCAGTTCAAGTTCTCTTCATCCCATTCTGCCACACAAACCTGGTGGTCACTTGCCACAGCCATAATAATGCTGGTGCCAAAGCTCTGAGCACGCAAAGGCTTCTGGTGCAGCCTGCATGCACGTGGCTGTGTTATGGTCTCTGTGTAGGTGCAGGAAGAAGTCCTTTACAGACACCAGGGATGCACGTTTGTGTTCTGCTGAGCCCAAATGTTTGAAAGATGAGTGCTGGCTGTGATTTTTGTTAGCTTTAGCACCTGGAGCCCAGTTTGGAGCTTCTTACTCAGCTGATGTTTTCCTACCAGGTACAGAAGAGATGATGAAAGCATTCTTGTGTGCTGGGATTCCCGTTCTCCTATGGGAGTTTGTTCTAGTCTGCGTTCTCATGGCTGTGCTGCTCAACTCGATGTGGCTGTTCCTGCTGTGATCTTCAGTGAACATCACTGTGATTGCTGACAGCTCGCAGAAACAGTAAGTGATGTCCTCTATCTTTGTATCTCACTGCTTTGCTATCATAAAGTGTCCATGGGTGCAGTCATGCGAAGGAACCGGAGTGCTTTGCAGTGTGTGTGGGCTTTGTCCCCTGTTCCTCACAGTTTGTCACTGGGAGGATCTGCAGCATTAGATTAACAGGAGGTGCAGAAACTGGCAGCCCCTGTGAGCTGCAGGTAGGGCTCACGTGTGGCTTCACACCCAAAGTGTATGAAGTGATCTTTCCAAAAAGTCTCTGAGCTCAACCACACGAAGCAGGTGAGGTTGTGCAGAGGAATAACCTTAAGATTAATGTGCAGAAAGGAAGGGTGTTCTTTTTTCTTATGATGTTTCAGGTGACCCTTCTGACTTAACCTTACATTACTGCAGGTATTTTCTTGTAGTACTTTTTAAAATGTGTATGTGTGACTGCGGCTTTATGGAGGCCTTACAGCTATAGGTTGTGCACGTGGTCCAGCTGTGCTTCGTGCTCAGGTTTTCCCAGCTCACCACCCAGTTGTACCACATGGAAGTGAAAAGGTGCTGGACGTACTGGAGGGCAGGGTATGTCCTCTGACATCGCTGCAGCACACAGCACATTTACATAGAGAGGACGTGTGAGGGAAGGCTGGGCACGTAGAGGCACGTACGGGACACACGGAGCGAGCAGCGTAACGAGGAGGTGCTGCCGGCAGCGACCCTCCGTGGGGTTCCTCCCGGGGCGACCTCCGCGACGTGACGCGGGGCAGAAGGGCTTCCAGGAGCGGCTTGGAGCGGCCGCGGCAGCGCTGCGGGCACCGAGCGGCCGCCAGGGGGCGCCCTCCGCCCTCCGTGGGCCGCGGGGCGCGCAGGTCGGAGCGGCGCGGCTCGGCACGGCGCGGCTGCCCCGGCGGAGCGACACCGGGAGGAGCGCGGGGCGGCTGCGGGGCGGCCGCGGATAGCGACGGCCGCTTGCTGCCGCGTGCGGGGCCGGATGGACCGGCGGAGCTGCGGGGAGGGCAGGGGGTGGAGAGGGCAGCCAGGGAGAGCCTCCAAATTCGCCGAGCCGGGTTGCAGCTGGAGCTGCCCGGCGCAGGGGTGGGGACTGCCCGCTTCCTTAAACGGAGCGGGAGCGGCGGAACGGCCCCGTGTGCCGCCCCGGTGTGCCGGGCCGTGCCGACCCTCTCGGGACGCGGCCGCAACACGTGGATCAAACTTTCGAGGGATGTGACTGCAGCCGGACGGAAACTCCACCGCATTGGGATTGTGCCGTCACGTTGCACGGAGCGGCTCGCCTCTTTCTGGTTTGATGTTTTTGGGTGTTTCGTCGTTGTTGTTATTATATTTTTTCCCCCTCTTTTTAAATGGCTGCTTTGGGCTGTTTTTTCTTTTTTTTCTTTTTTTTTTTTTATTTTTCTTCTTTTTTTTTTTTTTTTTTTCCTCTCTCTTCTTTGCCCTACTTCTCTGTGTTGGGTCGGGACTTTGAAAGCACGCCGGGGCAAACGCAGCGCTTGAGAAGCCGACAGAAGTGTTGCAACGTCCCTGGTGGCAACGAATTTATTATTTGTTTCTTTTGCCTTTTGCGAGGGCAAAGAGGAAGGGTGGAAAAAAATCTCGATGTGATCAATACGGGCTTAAATATCCTCCTGCGAGCGGCCGGGGAGGCGCGGTTGGGGGCCCGCTGTCGCCTGCCGCTTCTCCGCACGGACTTCAGCCGAGCCCGAGCCCTTCCCGGGCGTAACCCCGCGGACCGGCGGCCCTGGGGAAAGGAGGAGGCCGCGGGGGTCCCCCCTCAGCGCGTTCGCCCGCTCCCTCTCCCACGGCTGGCGGAGGGCTCGGGCTCTTTCGGCCGTTGGAAGCTCTCGGCGTTTTCGCTCTCCGCGCACGGAGTTCCCCCGGGCTGTGCGGTGCCGAGTCACGGCGCGCTGCGGGCCCGGCCCGGGCTGCGGGGAGCCGGCAACGGGGGCGGCGCGGGGCTCTGCTGCGGGCCGGGGCGGCGGCTGCTGCCCGCGGGGTCCCCCGTGGCCGCGGGGCGGGGACCGGGGCTCGGCGCTCGCGATAGGCACCGGCCGGGGAAGGGAATTAAAAGAATAGTTTAATTTAAAAAATCGCGATCCCCGCCCGATCGGGCGAGCTGAGGGCTGGGTCTTTGCGGGCGAGATGAGAGGTTCGTGTCTTCAACTGGCCTACAAAGTCCCAGTTCTCGGCTCCCAGGACCTGCCGGGCTCGCAGCGGGCGAAGACGGAGCGGTTGGGGCCGCCGCCCCCGGGCCACGGCGCGGCCCGGCCCGGCTCGGGGCGCCTCAGCCGCTGCCCTGCCCTTCCCGGCTCCCCGCGGGCCGTAGCGCTGGGTCGCAGCTCGTTCTCCGCGGACCGTAAGTGCGTCGCGTTCCTTCCAGCGCCGGGAGGCCCGCGGCCGGGCGCGTCGGGTCGGTGCCGTCGGTGGCTGTGCAGGATGCGGGCGGCCTTCCTCACCGCTTTCACTTTCAGAAAACACAGCTCTTCTTTATTTCCTCTCTTGTTTTCCTTTTTTTACCTCCTTTTCCCCCTTTTAATAGAAGCAGTCACACAAGCACGGAGCAGCCTGGTTCTGCTACTCCTCGTGTTTATGTCGCTGCTTTCTCCCCTCGCCCTTCGGGTGCTCCTTGTTATTTGCCTTTGGTTTTGATTCTGCATGCTGCACTTCTGTGGATGCTGGTTTGTGCTTCCTTTTGGGTGCCGTACCCACATAATGCCGTATGTAGGGATGGCTGTTTGCTCATCTAGCATATATTTATTGATTCCATGTCCTTCTGTATTACGTTACATTTTAGGTTCTTAAGATTAGAATTATTTTGCAGCTCCTCGTGACTGCTTGTTTGTCATAGATGTCTTTCCTTCTCGCTTGTCGAGTCGAGAACAGTGATCTAGAATTAGGAGCAAGGCCAACTGGCAGCAGCGTTCTTGTGGCCACGTTCTATGAAAGCAAATGAAAGTTGGGGTGGCTCAGAAAACACACAGGACGGTTTTAAACAGAATTATTTCTTTGCTGTAGTGCTGCCCTCCGTGCACACAGACACCTACACAACTTTTACCCTCAGATCCTAGGAGATTTTTGCAAACAGAACCCGTTTTCAGTGCCACATTCCGTACGCTTTACCCGTGAAAAACATTCACTTTGTGTTTTGCAATTAGTAACAGTTTGTTAATGGCATTAGAGATCACCGCTCAGTTTTTCTCGCTTTCGTTCAGGCCTGTGTATTCAGCACAGCACACACAAGGTGTATTAATAGCCGTCCTGACGTGTGTCTGTGCACACAGATGGGTGTGCAGCACTGATCTGTGTGCAGTGTTACAGCTGCTGTGGACGCAGTTGGGCTCCCTTGGGCCCGTTCTCCTCTTGGTGCTGATTGGGAGCTTTCTTTGAAACCAGAACTTGAAGGAATTTATTTTTGCACGTTTCTTTTCCCTGTTCGCCTCTTTTTCCAGAGGACTCAGCCTAGCAGCCACAAAAAGGGAAAGTATGCAAAAGTAGGGAGGAAAGGCAGAAATACTGCTCCCCTTTTTGGAGAGAACACTGCCAAGGGAGGGTCTGCAGGTCTGCCCATAGCCCTTCCTCCCCGCGGATCTTCAGCTCTTAACGAAATTAATCTGCAGTGAAATCACAGAAATCTGATTCTAATCATCCGCTGTGGAACGAGAGAGCTACAGGACGGCAAGCATGGTGTAAAAATACTTAAAGCATGCGGAGCCATATCATTAACATTAAAACCTGCTGGTGTGAAAGGGGGGAGCAGGGGAGAAGGTTTCTGTGCCTCCTTAGCACTCTCCTTGCAACTTCTTGTGCAGCTTCTCAGGTATCGCTGCCCAGCAGTGATCGCTGCTGCTGTTCGTGTTGCTGCTCGGTCTGTGTACTGTTGGGTTTTCTCTTTCATAGGAGACTTTCTTAACTGTGGTTTGCTCTGGAAAGCTGGGTAAACTGCTGGGTTTAGCTTTTGCCAGATTTAGCATAATCTGGATATTTTTTTTCCAGCAGTAATTGTTTTCTTCCTGCATGTAAGCAGCTCTGGCAAGTTTGGCCCCCAGAGCCCTGTGCTGCAGCGCTGCGCGGCGTTACTGAGGTGCTGCCTTTTGGTTTGTTCCTTCATTCAAGGTCCAGTCAAAGCGTGCTGCTTGTAGAGCTCAGTGCCAACATCGGGATGCGTTAAATCTGTTTGTTTGAGCTTCTGCCTCCTTATTTGCTTCTGGGAATCTTTTTTTTTCTCGTAATGGCATTTGTCAAGGTGAAAGGCCACATTTTTGCCCCAGCAATATTCACCCATTTGAGCTAACATGGTTGTTCATGGCTGCCAGAACTCTGCTGGTGGACTTTCTGATGCTAAGAATGTAATTTTTCTCCGTTCATCTGCACTGTTTGCAGCTATTGTAGCCATATGTGCCACATTGATAAGTGCTCCTAACTTCTGTTTGTGCCCCAAAGAACACGCAGTGCCACACAGATGTATTTCTCAGCATCTGTTTTACACTGTTCAGTTTAAACATTCCCTCTGAATTAAAGCTCGGGCTGGAGGAGAGCATTCCCTCATGCCCCAAATGACTTTTCTGTGGGTCAGATTACAAAGCAGAACTATTTTATTTTATTTTTGAATAGTATTGCTCTGAAGGCTGGACTGGGGGTAGGCCACACTTCAGCACTTTCCAAATGCTAACTAAGATGGTTCGAGCTTCTGCTGCAAGTTGTGGACAAGCTCTTAAATTACTGCTTTTAGCTCAGGAGCTCTCAGTAACGTGCTTTGCTCTCTGGGATGCAGGCTCTATTATTTCCCCCCCACACCCCAGTTAATAATAATGGGGCTTTGTTTTATTTTTACTTCTAAACTTTATGCCTCTCTTACTAATGTTTCTGTGTGTACAAATGTGCTTTCTTCATCCGTCAGACTTGGCAATTCTTAAGCCACAATAAGCTAGTTCTGGCCAGTACAGCAAGGCTCTCTATTTATCAGGGCCTTTCTGGGGAAGTTTATTACACTGCAAGAGTGACAT